CAGCAGGGGTCTGGCTGGACTCCACCTGCTCGGCTCCCCCAGGTTGGTGCTGCCTGCAGCCAGAGGCCACAGCTTCCCTGACGTGCCGTCACACCCCCGGAGGCTCTGCGGCAGAGCCGGGGAGACCGTTCTGGCCAGAGTCACGCTGCGGAGGCAGGGAAGCATCAGCAGTAAACATGATCTATCGGCCAAACATTGGAACGGTGAAAAGTTATCGATCTCTAACTTTCCGCCCATCTCCCCGCCTCCCCGAGCCTGGCCCTCAGCCCACGTTTTCCCGGGGGGTGGAAAGAAAGTCCATCAGCCAATGCCCGGCCCAGCCCTGGCCCCGGCCCTGCGGGGGCCCCTCGTCTGGCTACATGATGGCGGGAGGAGAGGAGCGGTATTTTTAGACAGATGTGCTCCCTCCCAGCACCAACGGCGGCTGCGATTATGCAAATCCGGTCATAAGAAGTTTCAAAGCCCGGAAACACSGTATTTCTTTATTTCATTAGCGGCGACAGGCCACAGGGTTGATGTGACAGAGGGAACTTGTGGAGCCTTCCACACGGTCCCCGTCGTCCTCTGGTGACAGAGGTGCTCTCAGCATGGGCACGGCGTGGGCGAGCACCGGTGGCCGGGAGATGCTGGAGTGACTCTGTGTCAGCGTGCACGGGTGGTGGGGGAGGCCAGGAGGCGTCACAAGGGCACCAGGCAGACAGACACCAGGTCCTGGACTTCTCASCGCAGAGTCCCAGAGACGCCCGGTTCGGTGATTCTGGGTGGGGAGCCTGGGTACTAGGGACTGAGTCCAGGGGCGCTTTACTGTGGCAAGCTGTCCCCACTCTATTGCTGTCGGTGCACCTGCCACCCACCCGGCGAGAGTGCTTTAGGGAAGTCAGATTCATGTCCTTCCCAGGGTCTTTTGGATGTTCCTGCCATATGCAAGATTCTAACTGGCCAGCTGTCCCCTGGGAATGTGGCATCTTTTACAGTCTCCCCCTAGGTCAGGCAGCCTGCCCCTCTGCTCCAAGCTCCAGCTGGGACACCCGTGGTGACTGGGTGTGGGGGGGTCCTACTTCCCAGGACCAGGTGGACGCTGCTCCTCAATGGGTCCCTCGGAGTGCCCCTTTCTGCAGGGGCCAGCGATGGTCCCCACTCCAGCCCCATCCTCGGGGCTGAGTCTGACCTCCAAAACCTGACCTCAGGGTTCTGCGTCTGCCCCAGGTCACACACCAGGTCACACACCGTTTGCAGAGTTGGGAGGGTCCCCCTTGTAACCACAAGGAACAAGCCCACCTGGGGAGCATTAGGGCAGGGACCTGAGGACCACTGGGCTCCAAGGACAGCCAGAGGTCCAGGTGAGGACCCAGCAGTGGGGACAGGAGAGAGTGGCCCATCTGAAGCCTGGAGCCGAGGACCTGGGCCAGGTGCTGCGAGGGCTGAACRAGATAATAAAAGCACGCCTTTTGGACATGGCAGGAGGAGGTGGCCAGCGACCTTGATGGGAGCCAGCCGCAGAGCTGCGGAGAGCTGGCGTGGACGCTGGACGCTGGACAGGAAGGGCTGAGAGAAGATGAARTGAGGAGATGGGACTAAAACTGCTGGCCTCTCTTCCAGGAAAATTTGCTCTTAAGGGGAAGGAGGGGGGTGCAGGGTGGAGGTTGCTCAAGTCCAGTCAGTTGGCTGCTTTGACGGAAGGTTCTAGAAGTATGCAGTCCAACACCGCAGCCACTGGCCACGTTTCTGGTGCTCATAGCCACAAGTGGCCAGCGGTGCTCGGCTGGACAGCACCCGCTGAGCCTCTGAATGTGGCGCATGGTCAGTCACCAGCCGCTCAGTCACCAGCCCCTCTCTCTAGTCCCTGGCAGGGGGAGGCTCCCGCGCTGATTCACTCGGTGACCTTGGACAGGTCCTTCTCTCGGGGCCTCAGTGTCCCCATGTGTAAAGTTAGGGGTGGAAGGAGAACTTGGGGGTCCTTCCTAGGCTGAGGTTGTGGGGTTACAGAGGGGCAAAGGCCAAGCGTCTGGCCACACGGGGACCAGCCACCAGATTCACATCCTAGCCCAGCATTTCTGCACCTGGGAGGTTTGGTGRCAAGGCCAGGTGGGGGCAGGTGCAAAAGCTGGCAAGAGCCTGGCATGGTGGTCACACCTTAGAATCCCAGCAACCCGGGAGGCTGAGACAGGAGGCTGCAAATTCAAGGCCAGCCTCAGCACTTCACCTAGGCCCTAAGCCACGTAGTGAGACCCTGTCTCAAAATAAAAATAATTRAAAAATGTGTGTGGGGGTGGGTGGGTGGGAGGCTGGGGATGTAGCTCAGTAGTTGAGCACCCTTGGGTTCAACCCCTAGTACCAAAATAAATAAATCAAAAAATAAATCTAGTACAAGATGGAAAACCAGGCCCGCCTGCCCATCACACAGGACGGCCCAGCCTGATGGAGGAGGCTGCGGGGGGAGGGGGGGGAGGGAGAGACTCTCAGCGGCTTGAATGGACGCACAGACTCTTACACTGCCACATGGGGACGAGGGGGGGGGCAGGAAGGGGAGTCCCAGCAGGGGCTGTGGCAAAACCCCTGGTACAAGTTCCCACACATGCACACGTGTGTAGGTGGACATGTGTACGGGGACCCGCATGTCGGCGGCACCCCATCCACACACACACACACACACACACACACACACACACACACACACACGTGCGCAGGCCCACAGGCGTGAACCCCTGTGCCCACGCAGCCCGGCCCTGGGGCCCTCGTGGCGGGAGTCGCGCGGCACCTGTGATAGGACTCTGTAGACCCTGTAATCCTGCTTAGCTTGACTTTGGGTTATTTTGAGCAAGAGATTAAGGTGATTATGATCACATTGCTGGGGCGCCACACTTCCTGGCTGGGCCTGCGGCAGCTCGGAGCACCCCCTTCTGGAAGCCTGGGGACAGTCCTGTGCTTTCCCAGTCCCTACCTGACACCCTCTACCTCTGCTGGGCTTCGGGCCCTCGGGAGGCCCAGGCGACACAGATCACAGGTCGRCACAGGTTCCCGGGCAGACGGAGCCTGGCAGGAAGGGAGGGGGCGCCCTGGGGGGTGCAGGCTGCAGGTACCCCGTACCGTGCAATGCTTGAGACGACAGTGGTGACAGAGATGAGCCCTSAGCCTTTCCTGGATGTCACAGAGCTCCCCTGCAACTGGGTTTTACGTGACCAGCTGCGTCCTGCGGGGGCCTCACTGCGGCTCTCCTGGCAGGCTCCCGGGCTTGGCCCCCATCCCGCTGAGCCATTCCTGACCCCAGGTGTCCAGGCTGGGCTGGGCCCTGCCCTGGGGTCAGCTCCTCGGCCTGCCCGGACCCCTCCRCAGCCCCTAGCCCCTCTGATCTCTCCCCGTCTTTAGATCAGAAATAGCCTCTTCCCAGGAGCCAGATCAAAATTGTTCTTTATGAAGTTTCCAAAGAGGGGAAAATCCATTTCACATCATCATATTTTTTTTTTCTCCTAATTTGAACCGCCTCAGTGCGGACTAGTTGCAGACGTCAATATCGGTGAAATACACTCGGCTGGCTGCCCGCCAGGCCAGAGAGCGGTGACAGAGGCTGGCTGTAAATCCAAATATTAACAAGCAAACACAAACCCATTTCTCCCTCCTGCAGGGAAAACACGAGGGGGCAGGGAGGTCATCCTGCTGGGTGGGTGGCGGGGTCCCCCACACCTYGGTACTCTCAGCCCCGGCCTGCTCCCCGTGAGGCTCCCCGCAGCCTGCAGCCCCGTTAGCYCTCGGCTGCGGCAGACACTGGGTGACGGATGAGGCACCTGTGCTCATGGGCTGCAGGGCGGGGGGGACACTCTTGCCCAGCCACAAGGTGGGGGTGGAGGGAGACAGCTCAGGCCYTGGGACTGCAGAGTTGTCCCTCCCAAGCCTGGGGGGGGGGCTGCAGAGTGCGGGGACTTCTTGGCCGAGCGGGCTCCCCGCCTTCCTTCTAGATCTCATTGCCAGACTCCACCAACGTGGGGGTGGGGTACGGAGAGGGCACAGGGATGGGCTGGTGGCCTCAGAGGCCTCCCAGCTGATTCATTTGGGGAAACTGAGGCTCAGAGAGGGCATAACTTGCCAGAGAGCTCAGACCAAGTCCTGACTGCTGGTGGCCGGACCAGGTACCTCGGGACCAGTCTCTGAAGGAGCTTGAGAGGAGCCATGCTCCGGAAGGATCCTCTGTCTGGGCTCAGGACATCCGCAGGGTGCACTGGGCCCCTACAGGTGACTCTGAGGGTGCTGTGGCTGGGCCCTCTCGAAGCAGAAGTGGCATCTTAGYTCCCAAGTGGAGGGCACAGAGCCCAGCAAGGTCATTCAGGCACATACATGTCCCCACTGGGGCAGCCCCTTCACCTGTTGGCCAGGTGACTCTGCTCCGTCTCTGGGCCTCAGTTTCCCATCTACCCAGGGCTATGCTCAGTGGGGAGTGGGCCGCGTGGGTCCCGACTGCACGCAGTCACAGTTCCTGGGAGCCCAGCCACACAGGTGGCATCATATCCCCTCAGCAGATGAGGAAGCTGAGGCAGAGGCGGGAGGAGCCCCAGTTTTTCTTGGTCCTCCTGCCCCCGCCCCGTGCCCCCCACCCCTGCGCCCTGAGGAAGCTTCTGGCCCCATTTTCCAGCAGAGGCTCTTGGGAGCCAGGACTCAGGCCCTGCCCGTCCAGGGGGCCTCGGTGACCTTCTCTCTCCTCTTTTGTCTTGCAGCAGGGACTTCCACCGAGCAGAGGCACCAGGCGGAGCTGCCAGGACACGCAGGCCCATGGGGAAGGAGGCTGTAGTCACTGCAGACCTGGGGCAGACTACGAGGGGCCGYGGGCCGTGACGGAGGTGTCCCCCCTCCCCAGCACTTGCGCCGCGTGGCCATGCAGCTTGGGACAGGACACGGCTGAGAGTGCAGACCGCTCCCCGTCCCACCCCGTCTCCCCCCTGGGAGCTGCTGCCCAGCCCCCCACCGGGTCCCCTTGGGTAGGCTGAGCAGGGTCTTCCGCAAGGGTCCCGATGGCCGGTCGCGGGTGGGGTGTGCTGTGGGTGTGCGTGGCGGCTGCCACCCTGCTGCACGCGGGAGGGCTGGCCCACGGCGACTGCTGGCTGATTGAGGGTGACAAGGGGTTCGTGTGGCTGGCCATCTGCAGCCAGAACCAGCCTCCCTACGAGGCCATCCCGCAGCAGATCAACAACACCATCGTGGATCTGCGGCTCAACGAGAACCGCATCCGCAGTGTGCAGTACGCCTCGCTGAGCCGCTTCGGCAACCTCACGTACCTCAACCTCACCAAGAACGAGATCGGCTACATCGAGGACGGCGCCTTCTCGGCCCAGTTCAACCTGCAGGTGTTGCAGCTGGGCTACAACCGGCTGCGCAACCTMACGGAGGGCATGCTGCGGGGCCTGAGCAAGCTGGAGTACCTGTACCTGCAGGCCAACCTCATCGAGGTGGTCATGGCCAGCGCCTTCTGGGAGTGTCCCAACATCGTCAACATCGACCTGTCCATGAACCGCATCCAGCAGCTGAGCAGCGGCACCTTCGTGGGCCTGGCCAAGCTGTCCGTGTGCGAGCTGTACAGCAACCCCTTCTACTGCTCCTGCGAGCTGCTGGGCTTCCTGCGCTGGCTGGCCGCCTTCACCAACGCCACGCAGACCTACGACCGCATGCAGTGCGAGTCGCCGCCCGTCTACTCCGGCTACTACCTGCTGGGCCAGGGCCGCCAGGGCCAGCGCAGCATCCTCAGCAAGCTGCAGTCTGTCTGCACGGAGGACTCCTACGGGGCCGCAGCCGAGGTGATGGGGCCCCGCCTGGTGCCAGGTCGCTCACAGCTGGGGCGCTCACCGCCACCACCGCCACCACCCGAGCCCAGCGACGTGCCCTGTGCCTACGACGAATGCTTCTCCGGCGACGGCACCACCCCCCTGGTGGCCACGCTGGCCACCCAGGCCGAGGCCCGTCCCCTCATTAAGGTCAAGCAGCTGACCCAGAACTCGGCCACCATCACCGTCCAGCTGCCCAGCCCCTTCAACCGCATGTACACGCTGGAGCAGTACAACAACAGCAAGCCCTCCACCGTGTCCAAGCTGACCCAGGCCCAGGAGGAGATCCGCCTGACCAACCTGTACACGCTCACCAACTACACCTACTGCGTGGTGTCCACCAGCTCCGGGACCCAGCACAACCACACATGCCTCACCATCTGCCTGCCCAAGCCGCCCAGCCCACCTGGGCCGGTGCCCAGCCCCTCCACGGCCACCCACTACATCATGACCATCCTGGGCTGCCTCTTCGGCATGGTGCTGGTGCTGGGTGCCGTGTACTACTGCCTGCGCAGGCGGAGGCGCCAGGAGGAAAAGCACAAGAAGGCAGCGGCAGCGGCGGCCGCCGGCAGCCTGAAGAAGACCATCATCGAGCTCAAGTATGGGCCAGAGATGGAGGCGCCTGGCCTGGCTCCGCTGTCCCAAGGCCCACTGCTGGGCCCTGAGGCTGTGACCCGCATCCCGTACCTGCCCGCCGCCACTGGCGAGGTGGAGCAGTACAAGCTGGTGGAGAGCGGAGAGACGCCCAAGGCCAGCAAGGGCAACTACATCGAGGTGCGCACGGGGGAGGCTCCGGAGCGCAGGGACTGCGAGCTGGGCCGGCAGGGCCCGGACAGCCAGAGCTCCGTGGCTGAGATCTCCACCATCGCCAAGGAGGTGGACAAAGTCAACCAGATCATCAACAACTGCATCGATGCGCTCAAGTCCGAGTCCACCGCCTTCCAGGGTGTCAAGTCCGGGGCTGTGTCCACAGCCGAGCCGCAGCTGGTGCTGCTGTCGGAGCCGCTGGCCGGCAAGCACAGCTTCCTGTCGCCCAGGTACAAGGACGCCTTCAGCCACGGCCTGCAGCGGCACCACAGCGTGGAGACSGCGCCGGGGCCCCCGCGGGCCAGCACCTCCTCCAGTGGCGGCTCCACACGCAGCCCGCGGGCCTTCCGGGCCGAGGCCTCAGGTGTGCACAAGGCGGCCGAGGCCAAGTACATCGAGAAGAGCTCACCAGCAGCCGACACCATCCTCACTGTGACGCCCGCGGCCGCCGTGCTGCGGGCAGAGGCCGAGAAGGGCCGGCAGTACGGCGAGCACCGGCACTCGTACCCCGGCTCGCACCCGGCCGAGCCCCCGGCACCGCCCCCGCCCCCGCCCGCCCACGAGGGCCTGGGTGGACGCAAGGCGTCCATCCTGGAGCCCCTGACCCGGCCGCGGCCCCGCGACCTGGCCTACTCGCAGCTGTCCCCACAGTACCACAACCTGAGCTACTCCTCCAGCCCCGAGTACACCTGCAGGGCCACCCAGAGCATCTGGGAGCGCTTCAGACTGAGCCGTCGGCGGCACAAGGACGAGGAGGAGTTCATGGCCGCCGGCCACGCCCTGCGCAAGAAGGTCCAGTTCGCCAAAGACGAGGATCTGCATGACATCCTGGACTACTGGAAGGGCGTGTCCGCCCAGCACAAGTCCTGAGCCCTCGGCCGGGCACCCCGTGCCTCGCCAGCCCTCCCCGAAACTCGTGATGCCCACTGGACCAAAAAGGATACAAGATCCACCGCAGCTATTTGTAACTCAGAGACTCTCACCGGGGAAACCCGACGCACGCGCACAACACAGGAAGGTCAGAGCCAGGCCCTGCGGACCGCGGGGAGGGGCCGTCAACCAGGCCCGGACAGGCGAGTGTCCTGAGGCGCAGCACCTGCGCTGAAGTGCGCTGGCCAGCAGACCGAGGGGGCAGCGCGCGTGCGCACACACACACACACGCACATACATGCACACACGCACGCACATACATGCACACACACGCACACACCACACACACATACACGCACCCATACACACACGCACAGAGGCACACGCACACACATGCACACCGGGGACTTCGGAAAACTGTGTCTTAGGGGTGGGGGTGGGGGATTTTTTTTTTTCATTATCTTTCCTCTTTTGACTCTTCTCTGCCTTTTCCCTTTTCCTCTTTCTCTTTCTTTTCTTCCTTTTTTTAAAAAAAAATAATAAAAGTAAAATTCTTTACAAGATAAAACCCTTATCGTGGGGGGGCGTGGCCAACATGGTCGCCTCATATCCCTCCCCCCCGCGGGACCTCCCAGTCTGTGGTCTTCTGTGGACTCTCTGTCCAGCCCGTCTCTTCGTTGCCACCTCCGGAGGCCACCGCAGAGGGACAGAACAGATGCAAGGCGGAGCGGCCTCCAGGACCGTCCTGAAGCTGCGGACTTGGTGGGGAGGTGGAGGCCGTGCCTGTGGACGGGCGGGGTGGTGGAGGGGCTCGGCTGGGAAGCACTGTGCACCCCCAGCCCGGTCCCTGGTGTATACTCGAGTCGTTCCATTGTACAGAAAAATATTTCTATATTTGCAATGTTTGCTGTAAAATGAGAAAGAACAACAACAAAAAATGACTATGTCTACTAAAAAAATATCTGCAAAGGAAAAAAAAACCCAAATACCTGTTTGTACTGGGTTTTTACTTGCGATTCAGGGGAAGATTGGGGGCTTCTTTGATGTTTGATCGGGGCTGGTTTTGGGGTGGAGCAGCAGCTGGAGAGGGTGACCATGGTGGGGGGCTGCCTGTGGGGGAGCTGGGCAGCCCAGCTTGGTGGAGGAGAGTCCAGCAGCTTTGGGGGGAAGAGCCGCGTGAACAGGACAGGAACCAGCCAAGTGCTCAGAGGTGGCAGTGGGAGTGAGCAGGGCCAGGGCCCAGGGTGTGCAGCGGCTCCTGGGTACCTAGGCTGCTCCAGGGCCCTGTGTGTCTGGCTGAGGGAGTGTAAGTGGGCCTGGGTCTGCAGGAGTGTGACCTCAAGACAGGAGGGGGATGCGTCTGCATGGGGGCCCTGCGATGGCCAGAGCCCCCTCCTCGGATGGACCCCATGCTGAACTGGAGCCAGCCCTCAGCCCACCACCATGCCCTGCCACCCCCTTCTCCCCACTCACCCACACCCCTGTCTCCAGGCAGCCTGCTCTGGTGGAGCCTCTGCTGGGTGAATGAGTGGCCAGAGTCCACCTGGGAGGAACATGGGCTTATTTAGAACCATTAGAGGAGAGAGGAGAAAGTCCCTCCCTGAAGCTAACTCCACTACTTCTTGCTGCCAAGACCAGTTACCCCCCATCCTGCCCTCGGAGCTGAGCAAGACATGAAGACCGGCCTCCAGCCCTGAGTCCACCTGCATCAGCACAGATGGCCAGGAGCCTCATCTCCCAACCATGTTCCCCTATCTGGCTGGGAGACCCCTCCCCTGCTCTTCCTAAAGGCCCTGGCACGGGGCACCCACCCCTACCCCACTCCATCCAGGGTAAACCAGTCCCTATCTGAGTTTCTGACAAAGGCCCAGTAAATCAGGAGGCTTGGGCTGGACTGGGTCCTGGAGGCACCAGGACCCTGAGGACTCGAGGGCAGATCCACAGGGTGGAGGCAGGCCTGTGGACCTTGGAGAAAGATCTGGGCCCTAGCCTGATGCAGGGAGTGGGGAGGGCAGGCAGGGCTGGKGCTGGAGGAGCGGCGTCTGCTTGCAACCTCACGACGGCCGGAGTTCACCTTCTCTCGTAGCTGTTTCCAGCTTTAGGAACCTTTCTTAGACTGAGTAGAAGCCCCCCCCCCCCAGCCGCAGGGTCAATCTCTGACCCCTGGGGAACCCGGAGCTGCAGACAGGGCCCCGCTGCCTGCCTCTAGGCTGGTCTGCCCCACCCTGCACCCAGGTGGGCCTGGCGTGGTCCCTAGTGTTGAGACATCTCGGTGGCCTCCAACCTGGGTGGGCTCGACAGGCACTCTGACACTGAGCTCCTCTGAGATGAGCCATTCCCTAGGACACTGCATGTCCCGGGCTTCTCTGTTTGAGCCCACAGCCCAGAGGTCAGGCCTCTGCAGAGACTTCCACCTCTGTGGCACCTCCCGAGCTCTGGGCGGCTCTGCACCCTCCTGCAGCATCTCTAGAGAATGGTGAGGGAGCCCAGGACCTGTCGATGGCTAAAGATGATGAGGCCACACCCAGGTGGTGAGGTCAGGAGCAGGGGAGGATCAAGGAATTTCAGGTGGAGGCCCAGAGAGAAGGGTCTGTCTTGCCCAAGGTCATGCAGCCACTCAGTGACAGTCCTGGTCATGGGACAGAAGAAGGTGGCCAGGCCTTTTCACTGAAAAGATAAAATACACTATTTATAGGGAGAAAGACACAGAATAGAGGTGCGGCAGCTGGCCAGGTAGGGCAGGTGTGTGAAGGGATGGCATGGAGAGCCGCCATCCAGCAGAACCAAGGGGACAGTGGGTGCCTGGGGGAGGATAAGGAAAAGGAGGGAAGTGGCAGGAGGGTGTGTGGTCCTCGGAAGTGGGAAGCCCAGCCAGCGGCCCAGCCTCCCAGGAGGACCAGGGCTGGCAGCTGGCTCCACACTGGGCACCTGCCTGGTGCCCGGTCACCATGCCATCACTTGGAGGAGGTCAGAGGGTGCTGATGAGGCATCCAGGAGCGCACACACATTCATTAAGCACCTACTATGTGCCAGGCTCTGTGGGGGGCACAGGAGGGGTGTACAACCCAGCCCCAGGGCCACAGGCCTGGACAGCACCAGGGTGGGGTAAGAACAGGGCACCTGGGAGGCCAAGCAGGAGGCCAAACCCCAGGTCTTCTCTGTCTTCAGGAAAGCTGCAGAGCATGGAAACAGAAAACCCGAGGTGCTGTTCCTGAGATTTAACCATTCACTCAGCATGCAATTACAGAGCCCCTACTGTGTACCAGGTATGCTCGAGGCAGCAGGGAGAGGGAGCACTCTCATGCCCTGCCCAGGAGAGTGCTGACGCCCAAATAGAATAAACCGAGGGGGTTTCCCTCCAAAGGGCCATTTCCAGAAAGGGTATAGGGACCACGGCATGTGGCAGCCATGTTGACGGCACCCTGGGGCAAAGGGAGGAAGCAGACACAGAAGGAGAGAGAGGCCACAGGGCCCTGGAGAGGACCTGAGAGGAGAGCCAGCTGGCCGGGCAGGAGGCACCTGCCTGCCTCGCTCCCCTCCCTCCGCCCTCTCCAGCCACCAACCTGCACCTGTTGGGCCCCCCTGGCCAAATGGCCTGGGAACCTGGAGGTGGGGAGCCCAGCCACGGAGGGCACAGAGAGCAAACCAAGCAGGACTGGGGAGGCTGAGGCCGAGGGGAGGCTGAGGCCGAGGGGAGGCCCAGCACAGGCCTGGGAAAGGGGCATATCTCCCAGACAACGTATGCAAAGGCGAGGCACGGAAGGAGCTGTCACATCCTTTGGGGACAAGGATGCTTCTCAGGGAAGGGGATTGCTTACAGACTTGAAGGACAAGCAGGAGCCCACAGAGCAGAGGTGGGAGCTGGGAGTCAGGGAAGGGGCTTGTGCCAGAGGGGGCTGCGGGGACAGGGCCAGAGTGTGATGCCTGCCCCCTGTGCCTGGGAACCCGGCCGGCAGCAGGGCACGTAGGAAGGTGGGCGTGGCCAAGCTCCAGGCCCGCTTTGCAAGTGTGAAGAGATCAGAGTCGGGCTTTGGGCGCCCATTTTAAAGAATAATAACTTTTATTGATTTCTCTTATCTCCAAAGCAATCCTTTTATTACATAAACTTTAGAAATAGTCAAACACAAAGGAGAAAATGGAAACATGAGACTCAGTCTCACCACCCTGAGACAATCGTGGCAGTATGTTGGCATCTGCCCTGGGAGCGCTCCTCTAAAAATGCAGCCGACTCAGGACCATGGTGACCACGGATCTCTCTAGCCGTGTGCCTCGGCTCCCCTTGGTGGGGAGTGGGGTGTGGTGTAGGAAGATGGGAGAGATGATGGACATCTGCAAACCCCTGTGCAGAAGTGAGTGCCAACGATGCTAGACAGGAGTGTGGCCTTGCAGGGTACCATGGACAGCTCCTCCTTCTCAACAGGAGATCCCCACTGGAGCCAGCTTGGGACCTGGAGCTCTCCTGGTCACTGCCACATGGCCAGCTCCTAATCATTCCAATGTCTTGCTTTTTTTTTTTTAACTGTACCAGGGATTGAACCCAGGGGCACTTACCCCCTGAGCCATATCCTCATATCCCCAGCCCTTTTTATTTTTTGATTTTGAGTCAGGGCCTCACTACGTTGCTTAGGACCTAACTAAGTTGCTGAGGCTGACCTCAAACTTGTGATCCTCCTGCCTCAGCCTCCCAAGCTGCTGGGATTACAGGAGTGTGCCACCACCGTGCCTGGCTTGTCCTGCCTTTTTGTTCCACTTTCTGAGATGACTTTATTTTTTAATTTGAAACAGAGTTACAGAAAATTCCCCAGCGTCCCCCAGTGGTAACCTCTTACACAAGCTTAGTACCCTACCAAAACCAAGAAGTTGATTGGCGCAGGGTACAATTCTGTTCCCTGAGCTACCAGGCTCTTTCAGTTTCCAATAGCTTTTCTAGGCGTGTGTGCGTGTGTGTGTGTGTGTGCATGTGTGTGTGTGTGTGTGTGTGTGTTTGCATGCATGTTCCT